TCCAGGCAAGAGCCTGGAAGTTTCCCTGTAGGGAAATAGGCTGGGGCCTGTAGGCCCTGTCAGAAGGAAGCTTCCAGGCAAGAGCCTGGAAGTTTCCTTGTAGGGAAACAGGCTGGAGCCTGTAGGTCCTTTCTCGGGCTGTCAGGCTGAACCGTCGGCGGGGCCTGTAAGCCTTGGATATCAGGCTTAAAGCCCGGAATTCAGGTTTTTGGCCTGAACGACGTCGGGCCTGCAAAATGGCCCGTGTGTGCATGTGCAGCATGTAACACCAGCCTGAGACCTTTGAGTCGGGTCATGGTATATCAGTCTTCCTCTGCGCTATTTGTGCTCTATCTCTTTGGTTCGGTTCTCGGTTCTGATCCTTGCCTTTAGGCGTGCGACAACATCACATTTTTGGCATAATCCTTTCTATCTCATTCCAGCATACACGGGAACACCATTGCGACCTGCAGTTCACCTCCAGCGCTAGAACCTAACCTGATATCTACCTACATTCGGGTGACCACCATGCATTGACCTACTGGGAAGCTATCGGATCTTTCTAGGCCTACCCAAGGTGCTGGAAAATGCTATGGGTTCTGTGTCATATTCTAGTTTTGTCCTCGTTCGTCCTAGACTTTCAAGTTTCTCCAGCATCCTATTTCAGTTGCTATGTCTATTTACTGTTCCAACCTTCCCGGACACAGAAAACACAGCACAGAAACAGAGTTAGCACATGGAAACAGACACTGCTCAGCAAGCATCTCGTAGACTGTCAGAGACACAGGAAACACAGCAAGACAGACACAGTCTCCGAAATGTCAGCCAATCAGGCTGCAGACAACAGTTCTTAGGAAAATGTAGACATCTCAGGCGGTGCCTGTGCAGCTCGTTGGACGTCTAACCAATGATCTCCATCATCTGGTCATTGCTAACTTGATGTGCTAAACAGATCATCCCACTCCTGACTCATCTCCCTTTTGTCATCTTCATACCAATATATCATCAGCCATACACATCACACCAACAGCAACACATAATGACAACCAAAACCTCCATTATCAAATCCCAAACATCATCTTCATCACCTCTTCTCCTTTCTCCTCCTCCTTGTCCTCCATTCTTACCGCTCACTACTGCTGAGTCAGTACTGACACCATAATCATTACTAGTTATACTACTGCATCTGATGCTGCTACTCTCCTTACTGTTATGACAACCACTACTCCTGCTGCTGCTATTGCTGCTGCTGTTCATACTCCAGCTATTGCTGCTATTGCTGCTGCTGTTCATACTCCAGCAATTGCTGCTATTGGTGCTGCTGTTC